CCATGGTGTCTAGGAGAAAGTTTCAGAGGAAGTGACATTCGAGTTGGATTGTGAGGGATGGTGGGGGTTTACCAGGGCATTCCAGGTAAAGGAGGGCAGCCTCCCAGATAGTGAAACTGGGAGACTGCAAGGAGTTCAGTTTGAGTGGGATGTAGGATGCATGGATGTGGGATAAGTTTGGAATAATAGGGTGGGGCCAGATTGTGAAAGTCCTGTATTCTGTGTATAAAGAAGAACCATCAATTTTGTAAGCTGGAGAATAATTTGATCAGATTTATATAGCTATACGCTTCTAGCCGCACTGTGGGGACTTTTAAGTAAATCTGGTGAGAGTTGATGAAGTTAGCAACTAAAGTGGTAGAGATGGAAAGAGAATTTATGTGGGGAAAGAGGGAGGAAGAAGAGGTAAGGATAACTTAAGGTTTCCATTTGACACATGATAATTCCATTATCCGAGGAGAATATCTTTTGCTAGGTTTTGTGTGGTTTTGGTTTCATTGGCTTTAATTGCTTGGGCAATACTGTCTGAATAAAATACCTTATGTGTATTGTTTTTTTTTTTTTTTTTTGAGACAGAGTCTCACTCTCTTGCCCGGGGTAGAGTGCCGTGGCGTTAGCCTAGCTCACAGCAACCTCAAACTCCTGGGCTCAAGTGATCCTACTGCCTCAGCCTCCCGAGTAACTGGGAATACAGGCATGTGCTACCATGCCCGGCTAATTCTTTCTATATATTTTTATTGTCCAGATAATTTCTTTCTATTTTTTTAATAGAGACGGGGTCTCACTCTTGCTTAGCCTGGTCTCGAACTCCTGAGCTCAAACGATATGCCTGCCTCGGCCTCCCAGAGTGCTAGGATTACAGGCGTGAGCCACCGAGCCCAACCCAACTTCTGTTCTTTGAAAGGTATAGTTGTGTAACAAGTTCAGTATATTCTTTTTTTAATTTTTTTATCAGATTGACTATGAAGTCAAATTCATTCCTTACATTCTAGGTAAAATATAAACTCATGTGATTTACACTGGTTATTCCTGGAAGATTCAACTCTAGGTTCTAGCGCTCATTTAGTGACCTCTGGTTTTCAGTAATCTCTGCAGGGTTAGCATGGCAGTTCTGATTAGTGTGTATTTGGGGAGTGATTTACACACCCCTTTAAATATCTGATATTCAAAGAGCTGTGAATCTTACTCCCTAAGAACAAGGACTTAAATACACTTATGCAAAATTTTGTACCCAGTTTTGAGGTACAAGTTTTAATTTATGTCTCCCCTGCCTCCAAAGTCTACCTGTATATACTCCAGGTTAAGAAAAAAACTAATAACAATATTTGTTTAAGTCTTGCTGTGTGCCAGGTGCTGTACTAAGCACTAGAAATGCATTCTTATTTAATCCTCACAACAAACCCATGAGATAGGTACTATTATTATCCACATTTTTTTGTTTAATGGGGAAACTGTAGCATAGAGAGATTAACCTACTCAAGGTTATACATTTAGTAAGTGATATGGCCAGGATTTAAACTTGATTTCTACTTTGTACTGTGAGGAAGTAAACCTGAAGTAGTGTAGTTTGGGCTTTAAATGTACTGTGTACTACTGAGAGCGAAAAAAAAATAGCTAACATTGATCACTTATAATAAAGTAGGAATTCTTTTAAACTCTTTACATATATATACTCATTTAATATTTAATATAACTCTACAAGGAGGTGCTGATATTCCATTTAATGAATGAGGAATCTGAGGCAAAGAGTAGTTAATTAGCTTGATCAAGGTCACACAGCTAGCAAATTTTGTTAGACCCAAGAGGTTGATTACCAGGCTACTTGCTTTAAACCCCTGTGTTGTACTACCTCTCACTGGTAGGTATGTGATAAATATGAGAGAAAAAATGACAGTTTTGTCACTTACTCCTTCGTGACTTTGAACAAATTTCTTAATCTCAGACCATCCTTGTCTCATAAATGGAGGATTGAAAATCCCTCATATAGATATTATGAGCTCAAATTAGATAAGGATTTTTTTTTCCAGAATATTATGGGAGTACAAATGTTTTGGTTCCATAAATTGCTTTTGTACCATTTGAGTCAAAGTTATAAGTGTGCCCATCCCCCAGATAGTGTGCATTGTACCCGTTAGGTATGAATTTACCCATCCCCTTCTCCCCCTTCCCACCTGCTTGATTTCTGATGAATGTTATTTCCATATGTGAACATAAGTGTTGATCGATTGGTACCAATTTAATGGTGAGTAGATGTGATGTTTGTTTTTTCATGCTTGTGATACTTCACTTAGAAGAATGATCTCCAATTCCATCCAGGTTAATACAAGAGGTATTAGTTCACAATTTTTTTTTTATGGCTGAGTAGTTAGTATACATATCCGTGGTATATATATACCACATGTTATTAGTCCGCTCATGTATTGATGTAGATAGGATTTAAAAACACAGCAGGAATGTGGTGGAGCTGGATATGAACCAAAGCTCTAAACTGGTACACAATTCAGCTTCTAAAAATAAGAGTTTTGAAATCAGATGCACTTAGATTCAAATCTCAGCTCTGCTACTTAATTGCTGTATGAAGTTAGGAAACTTACAGTTTGTTATCAATAAAATGGATAATAAAGTGTTTCTGGAATGTTTTAGCAAAAAATATTGTATAGGTAAAGTGCCAGTAGGATGCCTAGTATGTGGAAGGCAAAAGGAACATGATAATAAACTGGGCCTCATAGTTTAGTTGAGAAGCTTCATCAGGTGATGCATGAAAGTAAGATCTAAAACAAAATATTCTTAGTATATGATAAGTATTCTTTCAGTTTAAGTATCTAATGGTCTACCATCATGCAAATGCACTGTTTTAGGTAGCTCACTGTGAGAGTTATTTTGCTTTAATTGTATGTGACTTTGGATGATATTTTCTCCCTGATTTTTCCTTTCCATTGTCATTTTTCTTATTGTGGTTTTCTCACATTATACACTTATGTAAAATGAAAACTTTATGATTGTTACCTTATATGACTTAACATTGAAACCTTGCTTCACATTGCCCTTGGGATCTTTGTTGAGGAATTATTTATTGTAATGTCATTTTGATGCTTCGATAATTAAACTTGTACAATAGGGCCCTAAATACCAAATTTGGAATCACTGGGAAATAATTAAGATCTAGTAAGTTTTTGTGCTTTTCATTATCTACCAATTACCTAGAAATTAGTGCAGAAAGACAGATTTTAATTTTAAATTTAAATGTAAATTTATGGTTTATACTTGGGTTTTCTGTTATTTAAAGTGGATTTTATAGGATCAGTTATCCAGTT